ACACACATTCACACGAAACGATATATGTATATTTCCATCTTTACACATATACACCTGCAGAGAAAACGCACATCCACATGTCTCTGTACCTATCTCCATGTATACTTATACTTACATATATACATATACACACAAGGACATCTGCATATCCATATATACTCATACGCACATATATATATCTACACATCCATACGTATACACATATACACATATATACACACATATATGCATACGTACATACATACATATACATACACACACATATGCATACGCAATCTGCAGAATATCTACATACCCACATATGCGTTAATTCGCACTTACATATATCTACCCACGTATTTGTCCCTATTCTCATGTCCACCTGTGCATCCACTTATACCTGCGTTCGAAGACTATCTCAGTATTTAATTACATTATCTATGTCTTTACACCTATAATATTACCCGATCTTTCATATTTATGGCAAAACATATAAGTACCTAACTAATTGTACTAATTGAATAAGTATAATTCAATTAGTAGAGTAAAAATCACACGCCCCAATATATATATATATATATATATATATATATATATATATATATATATATATATATATATATATATATATATATCATACATAAATATATATATATATATATATATATATATATATATATATATATAAGAGGGAGAGGGAGTGAGAGAGACTTATGGATACAGTAATCGACACTGAATAGTGACTATTTCACGCCTGAAAATGAATACACGTAAATAGATATATCAAGATGTCTGTACTCTAATGATAAAAGAAACGTTTTCACTAAAGATATAATTTTAACATCATCTCCCTCCTTGTCAATGCGCCTAATTGTACACTTCCCAATAAAATGCATAAATCGAACATTATACAGTGAGAGTTTCAGATATAAAATCCGGCTAATAACTGTGTCAGGCTGCGAACTTATTGATCTACTCTCATGTCTAGATCGCTGTACCCCGATGACGTATCTCACGTAGGGTGCTAAGTGACGGGTGGTAGTGTTGCTACCTCCTCCCTTGTCAGCGGCCGAACCCTGTTCCTTGCTTCCCTCCTGCTATCCAGGACAATAGCTGAGCCTGCGTTTTAGCCGAAGTTGTGTCGTGAAGGGAAACCTTGTAAGTGTTAGTTCCTCACTCAGCATCATATCCCCCAGGTGTGGAGGGTCACTATCTTCAACTTGATCCGGGTTTTGTGGGCTTATCAAAGGACATGAACTTAAAACATTGACACAAATGATGGGGCTGCTATTGGTGGGTAAATATTTGTTCTGCAGTGAAAGATTGAAAATGAGAGTGAGCCAAAAAAAAAGAAAGAAAGAGGGTTACCGTCAAAAGGAAAGGAAGAGGAGGAGTGGGGGTAGGGCTTTGGATGAAGAGTAAAAGGGAGTAAGTGTTCAGGGAAGTGTGACTAATTAAGGAGTTGAGTTGAATAAGAAAAGAGAAACATTGAAGTGAGAGGAAACGTTAGCTCCGGGGTTGGGGAAGATGAAAGCAAAGTGAGAGGAGTTAAAAAGAAAGAAAGAAAGAAAGAAAGAAAGAAAGAAAGAAAGAAAGAATGAATGAAAGAAAGAAAAAGAGATAAAATAAGAAATAATGAATATAGCATGAAGGGAATAGGGATGATTACAAAGAAAGAAAGAAGAAAAGAAAGAAGGAAAGAAAGAAAGAAAGAAAGAAAGAAAGAAAGAAAGAAAGAATGAAAAAGAGATAAAATAAGAAATAATGAATATAGCATGAAGGGAATAGGGATGATTACAAAGAAAGAAAGAAGAAAAGAAAGAAAGAAAGAAAGAAAGAAAGAAGAAATAAAGAAAGAGAGAAATAATAAAACATAAGAGAAATGGGGATATTAAGAAAGAAAGAAAGAAAGAAAGAAAGAAAGAAAGAAAGAAAGAAAGAAAGAAAGTGAGAAATAATGTAACATAAGGGAGATGGGGATGATTAGAAAAAAAGAAAGAAAGAAATAAAGAAACAACGAAAGAAAGAAAGAAAGAAAGAAAGAAAGAAAGAAAGAAGGAATAATCAGTAAAAAAGGAAATTAAAAGAAAACACATGTTTATATAATTTGGATATCGCAGATTTTGCAAGAACATGACTGGAGTGGGTGTTGAGAAAGATTTGTAACAGGACGTGAGGATGATTTGTTGGAGGAAAGAAATGAAAAAAAGAAAGAAAGATATTCAAAATAAAGAACTACTGAAGTTATTGAGATTTATACAAAATGGGAATGAAGAGAGAAAGACTCCATATAGTAAGACAGTCGTCATTTCTTTGGTTTCTTTAATAACTACATAACTTTGTGGCAACATCTACTGTCGTAAGATTTGCCCCAGTCGAAACAAACTTTTAATATATATTTATATATATTAAGAAAACAAGGTCCGACATTTATTTATTAAAGTTTTTATAAACGTTTGGATATCAAATGATTTTGATAAACAGTAAAATAACATTTACAGGCTGAATATCCGATGAAATTTTGAGAAATATTCGTTTTTGACAAGGTCGAACCTGCATCTATACGGAACCGTCATGATTTGGCTACAAAAGAAGCGTTCGGCAGACAAGGTCGATTGGAGTTTATAAGAAAATTTCACATTCAGTTTCGACCTTCTTTGTAGCCTAGAGGTAAGCGTCGCGTATGATTTGTTCCGTATGGGATGCAGGTTCGGAATCCTGTCAAAGAACGAATTCTATGAAAATTTCTCGGACATTCAGGCCGGTAAATGTTGGCTGAGCATTTGCTTAAATACTTGTATCTATAAAATAACAACGTTAAACAAAAAAAATGTCTTTAATAAATATATTTATATATCAAAACATTTCTGTTGTTAAACAAATTATCACCATAATATATACTAATAGATTAGCTGAAAGCGCTGGACCTAAAAATCATTTGGACATTTCTTAAA